TATCTATAGCATATATATATATATATATAATCTATATTTCACATTATCTTAATGTGAAAGCTCTTCCCAATTACCTCCTTTAAAACTACAGTACTTGAAGAAGTTAATCACATCTTTAGTCTATATTAATAGATTTCTTCCTGAGTGTCCCCAAAGTACAGGCTAATTATGTGGCTAATGCACTTTTTTACATATTTATCTTAGATTCATATCCAAGTTAGCTAATGTAAAAAATTGATTAGGAACATAAATGCAAGATGAAATCACCGGTCTCCTACTCCAAAGTGTTGCAGTTCATCAAAAATATTTTAAAATACAAATTATTTCAATACACCATGATTCTATGTATGCTTTAAACAAAGCTTTATTTTGGGAAGCTTTAAAACTTAATGTAAGTGCAAAATCATAAATGTTTATGTATTTGTGTATGAATCATAAACTTACACTCATAATGAATTGGCTTTATATTAAAATTTAGACACGGAAAAATATTTTCTACTTCAACTGGGACATTTTAAATCTAGGCTCAGTTTTGGAATACCATTTTACTTGTATTCTACTCATATTTAAAAGCTGAAGTTTATTTCAGGCATGTCATCATCACTTTCAAATAGCCAGGAATTTCAGTCCAGCTGAGCTTAGTGTAGATCTTAACATGGATAGGTTTCAATTCCCAAGTAATGTTTTGAAAATAGAAGATCTGGGTCACTACAATGTTCATTCTGCTGCACAGTAAACTGAAATGTGGCACACACTAAACTTTATTCACCTCAGCTGTATTGCTCTCTAAAAGCTGGAATTTTTCTCAGCTTGCACTAAAATATGATCTACAGACACAGCTATGTTATTGGCATATACTCTCTGTTGTACAAAAAAAACAAACCACTCCTTTTAAAACATAAAAGTTTGGTCTACCAGCTAAGTATAAGCTATACCAATGAAATTACTCTTCTGCCAGGATAAGCAGCACTTAATTTTGATTCCTCAGTATGGCTGTATTAATAAACTCTTCACAATGGAGATCAGCTCCACAAAACTTTATACAGGTGCCAGAATATCCTGCTTCTTTAGAGTGTCAGCATTTGCTGCAGAACTCAGATGTAAAAGGAAAAACAGCTCCCGTGGCTCCCATGAAGACCAGATTGACTACACAGCAGTGTGATATTCCAGCTCCAAAGATGGACCAACCTAACCATCCCAGTGGGATGCTGCATTATTGCAGTCTTTCTGGCATCTCACAGCACATCTCCTGCAAGCAACACTTTTCCTTTCCAAAAAAGTAATTTCTCCCAGTAGCTTCTGCAGTTAAAAATCTGAAGTATTTTGGGTATGTGCCAATGACTTAGATTAAAAATCATTGGTTATGAAACGTAAAAGAAAAAAAGACCCTTCCTGGATTGTATGTAGCTTTATTTATCATTCATTCAAAAATCATCCTAAATACAGCTGCCACAGAACTCTCTGGATGCTATTTGAGAAGCTACAGCCAGTGTAAGAGGGGCTCTTCAGCGTGTGGAGAGTGCCTGGTGTCTAGTGCAGGTGCTAGTCCAGGATTAAAGATTCTGACAGTACCAGTCAAACATCTGTGCTGTGAAAGCACAAGGTTAGAAACAGTTAAGTCATTAAGGGCTTGGTGATTGATCCATCTCTGTGTCTTCTGAGCCTACAAGAAAGATGGAGAGATTTGCATGGGCATGTAGTGACAGGACAAGGAGGAATGGTTTCAAACTGAAAGACAATAGGTTTAATTTAGATACTAGGAAGAAGTTTTTCACTTTGAGGGTGATGAGACACTGGAACAAAATATGCCCAGAGAAGCTGTTGAACAGCTTTCCTGGAAATGTTCAAGGCCAGGTTGGATGGGGCTTTGAGAAACCTGATCTAGTGGAAGGCATCCCTGCCCATGGACAGGGGATTGGAACTACATCATCTTTAAGGGCCTTCCAACCCAAACTGTTCTATGATTCTATGAATCAGTTTCACCCTGTACGTCACTGTGACACCAGTCACAGTATGAGACACAGTCAAAAAAGGGAACTTCCAAACCCATATTCTGTCCCCATAAACAAATACATAGATGAGCACTGCCAACCTTGAAGAAACTGGAGTTTAAATGCAAACACCTGATTACAGTTGCATAGTTGTGAAAATTTATTAGTTACAGTGTAATGAAAATCAACTTTTTTGGTACAGGCAGAAGTAAAAACATATTTTATATAGAAAAAATCACAGCTTTAAAAACTGACTTACATAGTTTAAAATGAGTAAATTTGGTTGTATTTCAAGGCATTGGACTTTAATACTTAATTTTATGCCAAACCCTCACACAGTGCAAGAAATATTCTGCAACAAATTCCATACAGCAGTCTTCAGAGTATTTAGTCTCACAGAATCTCATGGTGGCAAAAAAATATACTGAATACTTTTCCATTTAAACAGAAAACATTGCTGAAGTTACATTTTTCTTTCTTCACATACTCTCTATTACAAAAATATCAAATTGCAAATTTGACAGTGTATTCTACAAATAAATGTGTCATAAGCAACAGGAATTGCAACTTTGGCACAGCTACTTTACAAAGTGTATTATAAAAATAAATTATATGGCAAATATCAAACAAAATCAAGCACGTGCCTCAGGCTTTGCAATTAAGAGTGAAATTCAGCTGGCAGAAAGACTGCTGCTCTCCCTCTGATTAGATACTTTTAAAATACCAGCAAGGCCATTGGTTTTTAAAGAAAAAAAAATATATGTAAAACCTAATGGAAGCACTAATACTTCCACAAATAATCAGTAGCACAAGTGACCCTGGTGTTGACGGCAGAGAGCTTCTACAATGATCCATCCACAGGCATGGAGGGTAGCGCACACAGAGAGCTCTAGCGGGCGGTAACTCATCTAGAGTTCACGCGTAACTGGTGAATGATGACACTCTCTAAAAGAAAAGAGAGCAAAACATTCGGGTTTATGAAACTACAAATGCAGTGCAGCTTACTTTAAAGAAGAACAATTACAATGGCAGTGCAAGGCATTTTTCTAAAAAAGTCTCACAAACTCACTCTCACATCACTGCTTGATAAAAGTGTCCTGGCTAATGCTAGAAGGGGAAACTAAATTAGTAGCTGTCAAGGGCTCAGAAGGCCTTGGCTTCCACTTCAATGTCAAGAGCATCATTTGGTTGTCCATAGGGAAAAAGGAGTAATACAGTTGAATGGATTAAAGCAGAAGGACACCAAAGTTCCAGTTCCACATCCAGACTAGGTAGAGAAAGACTTGGAGTTGGGCGTCTAGTATATTGTCTAAGCAACTTCATCACAAATCTGGTGGCAATTCATAAATAGGGATGAGGAAGAACTATGGGGTCATTTCTCATTTTTTTTAATTTAAACTTGGTTTATAAACCTATGCTGTGTTTATTCAGCAAGTCGTCTTGAATTTTGCTACTGACTTTAATGGGGATAAATTTCAGCCATGGCATGCAAAACGATGTGTTGGCATTTTCTTTAAAAGGCTGGATTTAATTTTGTCCTGTGTAGTATCAGAGGTCCCTGGCCCTGATTAATCTACTGAAGTACTAATGGCCTGGTCTTCTGTTCTTCTGCCTATATATTCAGCTCTTAAAGGCAACTTTTTTAATATAACAATTTAACTGTCAATTAACATTTTTCTCCGAAAAGGTGTATTTTATGCATTTCAAATAATGTGACTGTACCAATACTAATTCAAGCATACAGTTATACATTTTCAAAAATATTCATCTTAATTGAAATTACTTTTGTTACCTTCCTTTCTCAATAGCCAGAAGATTTTTCAAAATTTACAGGACCCAAGAAATGACAGTATTGATATAATTTTTGCCTTCTAGTTTTGTATACCTTTATCTGCTTCCTAACTAATATTTGCAAGGTGTTTCATGAAGTTATATTCTAAGAAAGAAAAATGAAAATGTTTTCCATGTACTCTTACTGCCAGAACTTTGCCACTAGATGGCAGATCCCAGTGCTGCTTTTCATATGTGGTGAAGTAAGGGCAGGGCTGAGGCAACGTCCAATAAAATACCTTAAGGCAAATGAAATAATAGAATTTCCCGATTTAAAAGTATTTCTTTTCCATAAAATGTATCAATAACAAAGTATTTTCAACAAGAAATGTACACCAGTTCCACCGTATTTGAGCAGTGAATGTGAAAGAGCCACAAACTATTACATGATTTTACCTTACTGTTCTAACTGTGCTGTTCTAACTTAAAGCTCTTGTGAAATATGATGTTAAAAGCTACATTTACAAATTATTTTCTTAATATTAAAAATATTATTTTTAAGGAAAAAAATTAATATTCACTGTGCACATTTAATAAGGACACAAAATTCTAAAAAAAATGGGCAGCAGAAAAATATCATGCTCCTTGTTAAGGCTCAGTCACTCAATAAACAGCAAAACTACAGCTGATGTCTGAATCAGACACCTTTCTCCTACAGACCTAAACAGCAGCTGTGCAGAAAAGAGTAGGAGAAAAAAGAATTTTTTTAAAAATCAAATAATTTCTACTGATATTTATCTTTCATTCATTTCTCACACACCTAGGGAACACACACTCTAAGTTTGTCTCAGTTGTTCCTATTTGAAATCCTCACATACTGATTTGTATGTATGAATATGTATATTATGTACACATGTGTAGTTACAAAAAGAGGTGTCTGAATAGTTACTAAGCTAAAATTAAGAGCAGGGCTGATTTTGTCAGTTCTTTTGGGTCACCCTCTATAGGAATGTGATTATATTTAAAGGATATGATTAAATAAATTTTTTCTAGGGTTCCAAATTGGAATATTTCAAGGAGTTAAGTATTCGCTTAAACAAAACAATTTATTTTAATGACAGAAAAAGAAAATGAAGTTAATGTAAAACAGCTAATTGTGCTTTCAAGTCCTACCAATGTAAAGCAGAACTTCTTGAGGAAACATATCAGGATACCAGTTATATAATGAAACACATCAAGTGACATTTTAACATATAAAGTTTAATTTCTCCTTACAATATATACAAGTATCACCAGATAATACAAAAATAAATGTACCACAGACAATGCACACCCAAGCAACAGAAGAGAATCATCCATCAGTATTTCTGTTTTTAAAATCCCAAGGAGAGGTTTTTTTGTTTAAAGAATCATTCACACCTGAGTGTTTCATACCCTCAGAACTGATAGCTCTGCACCTGACAGTAGTTAACCCTGGTTACATTTTAAGGAAAAAAAGCCATGGTAAGAGCAATGTGTAGGGAGTAAGATTCAAAGTGAAGTTAATATCTATAATGAGAAATATTGCATATAATTTTGCCCAAAAGAGCTCAAGCAAAATAAGAAGAGGATAACTCACACTGACACAGGGGAGAAAACCATTCCCCTAAATGAAAGCAAGTTCAAAAGATGAGCTCATAAAAACTCCTGCCAGCAAACTATGTGTTACAAAGCAAGTCAATGAAATTGGCCACTGATGTGTGATGGGAACATATAATTGGTCTGAAAATTGTCCTGACTGTTGCAGCTTATGCCAAGTACCTAAAAGCCAGCTGGACAGCAGCTTACTCTATTTAAAGACCTGCTGTTCCTCATTTGATCAAAATTACTGAATATTCATGTAAATATTGAGCATATTTTAGAATCTATATGGCATATCTCAAGCAGTGGCATATGACTTGGTATCCTGTTGGCATGTATCAACATATTAATGTGGCTTCAGAGATTACTCCCATTGTGGTAATTAATATGTGCTATAAGTGGTTTGAGGTTTAAATACAGTGACGTGTTCTCCATGGGCATATTACAAAGAGTCACAAAGTTTGGTTTTTGAAAAATCACACTAATGGGTGTCACAAAAGGAAAAAAGGTGAGTAAAGTAAATCAAAATCTCTGTTTTTCTTCTACCATTTGCTTAGGATGTTTACTATTCTGAGAGAAGTCTCTAGGCACTACAGTTGAAGCTCTGTGCTCCTTTTTCAGTCACACTTACTCAAATGTATTGATCTACTAATGACTACATTAGCAATACCCCTATGTAGCAGTAAGATGGGATGTAACTCAGGGAACACAGTAGAAAACTTGCTAGGAACTAGACTTAAAATTAGAGACATCATCTGGAGAACTCAGGGTGCACCTTCTCAATCCATGTGTGCTGCTCATGGGCTGGCATTTTGCCTGCTCTTTCCCTCCCCTCTCCACCTTTCTACTGGTGCTAAGCCATATATTACTACTGCTAGGCCTGAGTTATCCCAACTGCTTGCATGGCCACGTCATCAGGCAACACAGGGCTTCTCTCCAGCTGACACTGAATATGACTAAAAGTACAAAGATTACTCAGTCATCTTAGTTCCTATCATGATTCTGAGTGCATTATTTTGCTACTGAAATTGTTCTGCTTCATTACAAAAAACCCAAACAAAATGACAGAAAAGTTAAGAGAGAGAAAGCATAAGGATGAGTGATTCCAAATGATAATTTAGGACGGCTTAGTTTATTACGCATTATAATCCAGTAATGTAGAATACACAAAAGCCCTAATATTATCCTTTGGATGTGTCAGAGATTGATTCTTTGGTGCCTAGTAAAATCTGAGGTCTGAACAAAGCTTGTCCTTGTGGCATTTGTGACATCACTCTTGTGTTCATTCTTTGATGCTGTATGAAGGTGAGCTCATGCCCTACTCTTCCACACAGTGAGGCACTGCTAAGGTCCTGCTCCTCTTCTCTGCCGTCCTTTTCATTAAACTGGAAAAACTTCTTATTCTGGAGATCTCTATTGCTCTGCCGGGTTTGCATGAAATTGGTTGGTTGTTCAGTGTTATTCATTAGGGAAGGAGAGATGGAAGGATGGATGAACACAGACACTTCATCTTATAAGCCTCCTTTTCAACAGGGCCAGGCTCAAAGGCAGCCTTTGGAACAGGGACACAGATCTGGGGAGGCTCCCTCCTTGTTCAATATCCTGACCCCTCCACCACTCCCTTGTTTCTGCTCAGTGAATACTGAAGCATTCCATGCAGAACAGCACAGCCTTTCCAGGAGGGAATGAGAATGCCACCTTCTTCCTCAGCTGTCAGTGCCACTAGTGAACCTGCCTGCAGCTGATGTGGGTTTGAGTCTCCTCAGATACTGTCTCCTACCTTTGAAAAAAGGTTTCAATCAAAAGCTTTTGAAAATAAGCAGCAGTACCCCTGCATTTGTGTGGTATTTGATCTACTAGAAGGCATTCATGATCCTACAGTCATTTTAAAACACCAACTGGTTTCCTGTGCCCTCCTTCTTTCTTTTTCAGGCCTGTGAGCCTGGCACTAAGTTATGTTAAAGCCAGCCTTTACGCTTTTTTGCCAGATACCTTTTCATTCAGATCAGTTCCCCAGTTAAATTCAAATACTTGTGCCAGCTCAAAGGACAACTACATAGTCAGTGAGTACTTTCTTGGCTGGAGGTGACAAAGACAGGACTAGAGCTTTGCAGTCCATTGTGGAGTTATACCCTGACTTTAAGTGACCATGAAATTCTGTCTTAAAAGCCTCGGAGGAAATACAAGAATACCTGCATTATGGATCTCAGTGAGGTACAGCAGCTGCAGTGCTACATTTAAGTCATAATAGAAACACTGACTAGATAAGGTCTGTGGAAGAACAGCAGGAAGATCTTCAGGATGCCTCTTGGGCTTCGGCATTGTTTTTAGATTTGGTTGTTTAAATTGCCTTTTGGAGCTGACCTACTGAATAGAGTGTCTTACTGTAGTCATTAAACATAACTGTCTTCAGAGGTAATTTCAGTGTAATACAAATAGTTAGGCTTGAACTTTTAAGACTTCTGAACTATAGGCTTTCTTTTCATCTTACCCTTCTTCTACCTTCAGGAAACAAGAATATTACGTCAATTAAAACAGATGTCAAAAGTTTTCAGTATAACAAAATACCTTGTTTTAGCTAATAGTTTAACCAGCTGCCTGATTCCAACTCTTTAAACTTCATTTTTCTTTAGACACATTTTTGTTGTGCAGCCCCTGGGGAAAAATAACAGGATCCTAAGTCTGACCTCACTGGAATTTCTGAAGTCTGTCTCATCAAATCCTACTGACCCTACAGGAGCAACTCCCAGCCTGTGCCTGCAATTCTGGCTCTAGCTGTGCCAGTTTGTGTGCTCTAGATTTCAGGTACTGTGAGGCTGGCTTGTTTCTTCAGGTGAATTAGTTTCTTAGACCTAAAACAAAACCAAAATTTTCAACCACAGGCACACATAGAACATTGAATATGGCAACAGTTAACTAAGTACCTAAGTTTCTTTGACACAAGGAAGGCTTAAGGCAGCTGTATCAAGCTACATTAGCTTGGGCATATTTGCAATATTATTTGACTGCTTTGACCTTACAACTTCCTTCAGTAACAGTATTTAGAGTGAATATCCAGAAAAAAACCCTTTTTTTCTTTAAATATCTGTTAAAAATTCTGTTACAAAAAGAACAGTAAGATCTCAGCAACAATTTATTGACATACTGAGGCTTTTAAGTGATAAGAATTCCTTGAGAGGATCCGATGTATTTCTGACATATTAACTCACATTGCTTGTTAATTCCAGTTTTCAATTTTATCTGAAGTACTGCGAATAGGAGTTATGAAAAAATGCTACTAATACTAATCTGATTTTTGGATGTCATAGGAACTAGAACCTTAAAATTAACAAGCATTTCAGGTGCTACACATGTAAAAAACCAAAACCTACTTTTTTATGTGGCACAGAAAAAATGCCCTTCATGTGAACAATAAAATGCCAGCTTTACAATGGGATAATTGTCATATCTAGATGTGAAATTAGAAAGCAATGCAAAGCAGATGGAAAACTAAACATTGCTTGGATTGAATACAATATTGTTGACCTTTGGTGACAGAGTTCTTCCATCAAATACCTTCTCTCAGACCAAATTTCGTGTTTCACCCACCAGTGCATTTTCCTTCTGTGAATTTTATTTATAATTTATTGGTGGTCTTCCCACCTTGCTCTCTGTTTTGACCACTGGGCCCTTCAAAGCTTGCTGAGGTGGCTGAAGCATTATATAACAAACCCATCATTTATTGGTCTGCTCAGCTTCATTTCTTTTGGTGGTGACTTTCTTCTGTGAAAATCAATCGCTTAATGGAAATGTGCTTTAATAACTCTACTGTTATTAAATAAACAATCATAACAATCATCAGCATCCACACTTTTTCCATGCTGGAAAAATTCATTAAAACATGCTTAAAAAATGCAAACATACAGATGAGGAAATCACAAATAGGGAAGGAAAAATTATGAATCACCATGGTATTGTAAGGCAGTCTTCATTTTATGACAAAATATTTTAAACAACTGAAAAGTGAGGGTAATTTCCTTACCAAAGCCTTTCTCTTTCATTGTCTGTACCTGAGCTGTGTCTTTAGGTAGCAATTCCTGCCACCAGCAGGCTGTGCTGACTTACCCTCTAAGATGTAAGGATGCGTGGGAAGTAAGGTTTAAATGTAAGACCCAACCAGGAAAACTGAAAACCTAGTCAGGTCAATGGAATGAGTTGCTTCATAGCCATTAGTGGTCTTTGGAGCAGGCACAAATGAATTGTATTGATTTTTACCAGATAGTGTTTCTCTAGTTTTTGCTGAAGACTAAACACCTTCTGGCTCATAAGCCTTCATCTGAGCCCTGAGCTAGCAGTATTCCAGTGTGTGTAAGAGACCTGGTTCTAAGTGTTGTCTACAAGTGTTGACTCTCTCTGGAAGAATTAAATTGCTGCCAAACATTGTGCAACATCCCTATGCCCCTGAATTTAGTAACTATCTTGAGAAAGCAGCTCACCGCTGAGAAATGGTGATTTTCATGGGAGGCTCCTAGAGAGGCCACATGGTGCCCATGCTTCCTCTCTTCCCCTCCCACACACGAGGTACTGGCTTTCATTAAAACAGGACCTCAAGTGTGCATGGCAAGTCTTTTGGCATTGCTTCCCTAGGCCATGTGGCATTTCAGTAATGTGGTTACAACAGGAAGGAAAGTAGACCATGCAGCAGCAAAGGTGGAAAACAATCTAGTTAAAGTGACAAAACCTCCTTTGATCTACTAAAAAGTGACCCAGTCTATCATTAAGAATTCCCGATAATTAATAACCTATTTAAATTACCCATTCTCCCCTCCTAGACTGAAAACCTTTCTGGCATAAAATTGCCTTTTTGACACCTTTATTTTTTTTAAAACTTGAGTAAGGAAACAAAAGGATTTTGTTATTTAAGTAGTCAGTGCACACACTTATTAGTTTGTTGTTAAGTGACAGCTGCAGGACTTTGTTAGTACAGGCAAACGTGAACAACTACACGGACAGGGGAGCTGACTTCCATGGCAGCAGTAACACCTGCAGAACGTACCCCCTGAGCCACTGCCATCAGCCCTGACCCCCGCCCAGGGAGGCAGAGCTGCTGGCTGAAGATTTCTTCAGTTCTATTTTCATAGACTGAGTCTCAGCACGAGGCTCGAATTTTGTCACATTTCCTGCTCCTGGGGCTGCCACTACTGGCTTTCCTGCTTTCATACCTTTTGAGACAGGAATGCGGGTGGGTGTAGGTCTCGGGGATGACCCATCCTGTCCTGTCTGCAAAACAAAGAGACAGAAAAATGCAGTGAATTAAGGACTTTTTCTCATACATGCTCATCTTATACTTTTCTTTGGCTCTTCATTTACCTCTCAAACAACAATATCCCAAATCATGTCTATTAGCAAAGTAATATTCACACTTGGAATGTGGCCATACTGCTAGAGTAGGGCCAAAGGCACAGTTGCAATCAAAGAGTTTCCCAGAGGTGAGAACCAGGGTTTTGAATCAAGACATCCTAAGGAAGGGAATTTGTGCAAACCTCCCATTCTACAGCATGACACAGTTCAGGATGGCCTTAGAGGCTACTACAACATTGGCTTAGCTGTCAGGACAGGTAAAGTATTAGCATCGTGTATAGACGTTAGCACGGGTTTCAGAACAGCATAGTCAGGTGAGGCTAATGATGAACCCAGGGTAACTGCCAAATTTTAGGAGCTGGGGCATGATCACTCAGCATTGTAAATAAAACTGAATTTTACTTCCCAAAGTAAAATGGGAAGTAAAATGGCTGGGGCCACTTATTTCTGCACTGGGAAGAGCTGGGGGTTGGGAGAGAAAGAGACAAAGAAAAGATCTGGATTTCCTTTTCCTGTGGCTGTGGCAGGAGGGATGTGGGAAAGGGCTTTCCCAGTCCAAGCACAAATCACAGCTTGAGAAACTTTGGTGAGGGTGAAGCTGTTAACCTTCAAGGATACCTCAAGGCAGTGTGGACACGGCCATTTTACTATCTCTACCAGTCTTCTGCCCTGAACAACAGCCTAGCAAGCACACTTATCCTCAAGTTTGAGTAATTCAGAATTTTTTTTTAAAAAAAGAGCAGCCTAAGTGGTTTGCTTGGGGCTGGCAGACCCAACACAGCTGCTGTGTCCTTCTGAAGCCCCAGCTGGAGACCAGGCCAAAGCTATCCCATGTATCCCAATGGAATGAGTATCCAAATGAATATCCAAAGAGTATCCAAAGCTATCCCATAGCTTTGGACAGATAATGATCTGCATACTCTTCAAGTTCAAATCTGGAGCTATCCCATATAAACCATGACTTAAAGAAAATACTTATGAACATGACAATTCTGGAAGGAAAATGGGCTTTATCTCCTGCAGTATGCAATACAGACACAAATGATAATGGTGACAACTTCAGTGTCTCGGCTGAATTTCCTATATGACTGACATTTCTCTTCACATTATGGATTAAGACTCTGATCTGACAAAAAAGAACAATTCTCCAAAAATCCTGAAATCCTAGCTACACGCATCTGCTAAATGACTAAACTCTGCAACTTATGATATATAAGCAAAGTAAAACTAAACTGGTGAAATAGATAGGACTGGGGGTTCATGTCAGCTGCAACATGCATTTGTACATTTACTTAAAAATGCTCTTGATGTTTTTTAGCCAGTGGCATCAGAGCTTTCTGTCTGCATCCTGAGCATGCAAAGGAAAACCATTCCTTAATCTTCTAAGAACGGTTCAAAACCCCATGTGTACACTCAAAAAAAATCACAATTGGAAAACTTGAATGCTGTCTGCCTGACAGGAAGGAAGCCATTCTCAATAACTAAAAGCAACATTTACAATAGCAGTCTAAAGGCTAATATGGAACTCACATGTAGATGTCAAAACAAGTTAGGCCCATACAATTCTGTAGGGCAAAACATGCAAATGCATTCCATCAGCCTTGGAAAATATGTCAACATCCCAGGGAACCCAAATGACAAACATCTTGTACTCCCTGAAAGAGTCCCACAGTGAGTAAACATGAGGCAATCAAATGGAGTAGCTGGAATCTCAGGCATTTCTTCAGCTTTATTCACATGTAAATTATTAACTAAGGATTTGGGCTCTTTCAAGTTACTCATTTCAAGCCTAAATCACTCAAAAGCACTTTGAAAAGAACTCTAACTTGCTTTAAATTTCTTAGTTGCCTTCATTCCAGCTACTAACGTGTTGATGGAAGCTAATGCCTACTTCCCAGGCAGCTGCAAAAGCATTTTGTGTTTGCCAAGTGAGATGGCACAAAGGTGCCTCCCCAGCCGGCTGTCCCCTTGGGCGCGGGAAGGGGCAGCAAGCAGAGAACACATCCAGCCCACGCCTGTAGCATCTGTGCAGAGAACACACACGACTGCCTGTCTCTCCATCATTCCTTCCAGCTGTTTGTCTGTAGGCTGCTGTCTTCTGGTTGGTCCAGGAATGTGGCTCCAACCAGAAACTAACCCTTACACAGCTGGAATGGGGTGCCCAAGATGCTGCCCTGTGAGACACTGGGTGATGCAAGCTGGATCTGAGCTGGCAAGGCAAGACATGGTGCTGGAACAGGGATCCAGTGAGGTCACACAAGACATTACTGGGAGCGAGATGAACACAGCCATCTGCTATGGTGCAGTCATAATCAGCTCTCACTGCAGACACAGGTGTATTAACCTGTGAAGTTGCAGAAAGGTTAGGCAGTCTCATTAAAGGAAAAAAGCAAGCTGAACATACAGAACACGTAGCATGTTTGAGTAGTTTGTAACAGATGCTGCTTGGTGCATTTTATTGACATACAAAGAGACTGCTTTCATGCACACACGGGCTTCTGGAATATTTTAAGTTAAAAAGTGCTTTTTTAGCATTTGTTCTCAACCTGATCAGGCCCCAACTTGCCCTGGACAGAAATTGTGGTGTTCAGTGACCAACAGACACCTTGTGCAATTTGAAATGCCCTGGGCTACTCAAGCAATGTATAGGGCTGGTAGACAAGACAGATGACCCAAGGAGACCTAAAACTTCTGATAAGCAGCTGGATGGTAGATAGCACTGAAAATGGCACTAAAATAAAGTATGTTTAGGTAACTTTATCCTGAAAGGCTGGGATTTGAGATCTCGGCAATATAGTCAGAGGAGCCAGTGGGCAATTCAGCTCACACAGAAGTTAGCCCTGTCTCAGCTGCATCACCCCCCAGTCACCACAGGCCAGCACACAGGCCTCAGTGCTGCCATGGGGAGCACACAGACTACAGACTGACTCGGTTGCCCACACTGAGGCATCTCGTGCCATCTGAGGTGTCCCATCAGCTGCCACTGCAGAAAGGTATGGGTCATTTATCCCTCCCAGCCTCCCACACGTCTCAGCTGCCACAGGCAGACAGCCAGCAGCACAACACCTCTGCGTAGGCAGGTGAGCTGCCCTCTGCACCTCCAGGAGCTCCAGCAGCAGCTTAGAGCAGACATGGGACACCTACACAGAGCTACATTTAGATGCCAATCTCAAACTAAGTGCTGTCCAATTGCAAGTGGCCTTACAGCCACACAAACACTTGTCCCCTTCGCTCTGGCACCCAGCAGCTTCTCAGCTGGGCCCTCGTGCCGTGGTGACAGGATGCCCTGCATGGTTGGTGCGGTGCCACCGTGCTGGCTCTGCCGCAGCCGGGATTCCCTCTGCTCCCTGCAGATTTGCATGGCACTGGAGTCACTGTGTACCCTGGCAGCATAAACAGCTGGCACTCAGTGCCAGGCTTGTAGGAGGTGGGGAGCACAGGGATTAAGTGATTATAGGACTGACACCCATGATGGTAGCCAAAGATCCACATTCACCAGCAATCCTATAACCAAATGTAATGCCTAAATCAAACAGGATGTAGGCACCACTGTTTTGGGGTTTTTTCCCAAAGAATACTTGGGTTTATTCTGTGGGATTTTTTCTGCAAATGATATGAACTGTCCTGGGAACAGAAATTTGGGCCAATGTGCTAAGGGAAGACTAACAAGCAGGCTCATTTTGGTCTCCATATCCTCTGGTCTCTGTGGTCCATTTGCAATTAAAAAACAATCATTTCCTAGGTCTGCTAGGATAGGCCAAGTATTTTCCTGGGAGTGAGTTTGACTGTAATCAAGCTAAGGAGGACTAAACACCATTTTTTCTGCTTCTGTGGGAACTATCCAAATCCATAGGCTGCCATAAAAAAGACATTAATACATTGTACAAAGCATCTTGTGTGAGGAGAGTTAAGACAAAAATTAAAACCAGTGAGCTAAGAAAGGAGCTGTGTATCAGTTTGTCCTGTTCAATTTTATTAACTTAAACCCACAAAATTGTATCTGTTGGTTTCGTCTAGGGTTACTGAGTAAATGATCACTGCTTGGGTTTTCTGACTAGGGGCAGTGAAGTGAGTTTGTGAAGTTGTCATTTGCAAAACAGATGGTGAATACACTTTTTTTTCTTTCCAAGAGGCCGGGGAGGAAAAGACATATCTGAGCTTGTTCGAAGTTGCCTGCTCAGCTGACTAGGGAAATTAAAAACCAAAGGAAAGCATAAGATAAAGTAAATCTTAGGGCTGAACTATTTTCCTTACACTCCAAATCAGGGAGGATGAAGTGAAGAAAGAAACCAGTTTTTAGCCAGGAAAAAAAAAAAAAAAAAAAAAGTTGTGTCTGCCATGGTTCACTGCATCATCACAGTAGAGACAGACATCTAGTTAAAAGAAAAAAGTTTTTAAAAAAGTTTTCCAGGCTTCTGAGAGACAAAGGAGTTTGTAAATTAATTCAAGACTTAAAAAAATGAACAGTTTCCTCTAATATGTAAGGAAACACTGTATAATAAAGTATTTACAATACTTTATATAGGTGGGAAGAGAGAGCGAGCGTATGTGCAATCCCAGACAGATCTGTGTGATGAATGCAAGCTTTCTTAATTCCAAAGTCTTAAATGGGAAAGGCAGCTTCTCTCCAGAAGTGTGAAAGTGTATCTTAAATACACTTCGACATTTCAGCTTGGGAAGAGATGGCTGACGAGGCATGTTGTAGGGCTCTGCTGACTCCCGAGCAGCACAGACAAATGAGTAGGGGATGACTATTCAGTATTTGTCAAGATACAAGAAAGAGGCTGTAACCAATGAAGGTATTGCATAAAAGGTAGCAAACAAAAGAGCTTTTCCCAAAGCCCACAACTGAATTCACTGCCCCCTGATGTTGTAGAAACAACAGTGTAAATGAGTTCAAAAAGCAATTAAAAGAATAAATAGAAGAAAACTCTGCCATGGTTTATTAAAGACAAAGATGTGGCTACAGGCTCTGGTTCAGAGAGAAATACCCACCTATTGCCAAAAACTGGGAACAGACGCTGAGGGAAACATTACTGTGTGTTTACCCACTCAAAATAATATTCCCCTAAGCATCTGTTGCAGACTCTGTCTAGCTAAGTAAGTTTTTGGACTAATACAGTACCAATACTGTTGGTTTTCTGTTTTGGTCAAATTCTTCTTTCCCAGGGTATTTCCAACTCAAGTAATAAAAACATATGTCCAGTACTAAACTGGGAGAGGACTATCTATAAATACTGCCCACTATGGTTAAAGACAGAGATGAGAAGTCTTTCACTATGAAAAAGCTGGAGTACCACCACAGAAGCCCAAAGAGAAAGAAAAAAAAAAAAAAAAAGCTACACAAAGCTCTATTGTAATACAGCACTTACAGAAGTTCAGAGGAACAGAAAAAGCTCTACTATTCACTGGCTAAAGAGGCTTGAAGCTGTAAGCAATGATAACATGTCTGCTTATTTATTTTGGAGTTCAGTAATATAGCAGATATTAACTGAACTATATAAGGATCATGGGATTATATCAAAGAAATGCCACCCTGCACATCAGAGTCTAAAGACTTGCCAGCTGAGCCAAAAATCCATGAGGTATATTTTCAAAATTCAGATATTGCACTCATAAAAAATAAAAATACAGTTTCCTGCTCTGTCATGCTCATCATTGTTTGTCCCTCTGTCTCTCACTTGTAATTTTGCTGGATTTTGCCATTATGAAAATAACTTTGAAGGGACTTCCTCTGGAAGTTAACTGCTTTGGGAGATAATACCAAAAGTGTACCAGCGTCCAACACCGGTACAAAAATACATGAATTGGGCAAATTCTGATTATATAATTAAGCTTGAGCCTGGAAGAAATGTAGGGAAGACAAGAGTTTCTCCTCACCCCTCCCATTTTCCCTGCTGGTGTCTCAAACCCTAGCTACGGTTTGTCCTTCTCCCTACCATGAAGACCACACCATGATATCACACTGCTTACCACTGACTGTGTTCCTCGTGTGGAAGATGTTGTAACAGGCGTGATGGTGATAGTACTTGTCACCTTGCTGGCTGCAGGTCGTGGGGACAGGTTGCTCCGAGGTGATCGAAGGACAGTACCCGTGACCACCTCCTTCTCTGCCGCGATGTTCACCGGTCGGACTGTTATCACAGGGCTCGTGCCGTCGGGCACGGCACTGGGGGAACGTTTGAACTGGGAGCCCAAGTGGATGTGGATTTTGTTGTCTTCTGTTGTAATAATGTTGGCGTTGGCATTGTACTTGCGGATTGGAGTCGGGACGGTTTGCTTTTCTGGCGTGACTTTGAAGACAGCTCTGCCCATGGTCATGTCTTGTGACTGAGGAGAGACGGAGATTTCTGCCGGCGCTGCAGATGTCGATACAGTCATGATCTGAATTGGTGATGCAGGTCTGTCAGCGAAGGGTACTCTCCCTCCCTCTGGGGACTTTTCCCTGGAGAATGTTGTTATAGTGACTGGAGACATGGAGCGATCTGGGCCCATGGGACTTTCACTGCCTTTTCCTTTTTGTGGCATGACATTTGGAGAGGGAATGATGGTTATTCGTGGCTTCTGATTTCCCAAAGTAGGAATGACAGTGGTACTTGAAAAAAATTCCTCTGCAGATGGACTGGTTATCTCCAAAGTTGCTGTACTGTTCTCATGGTCTGGTGTCACCCGAATATGAAGAGGTTGACCCTGCTTTGGTGAAAGGACAACCTCCCCGGGATGTGCTGGACTACTGTGAGTTCGGGCTCCTTTATCAGGAGTTGTCTGAGCCCCAGTTTCCCTCTTTTTCATCCATGGTATCCAGGATTTCCTCATAGCAAGTTCATTTGCTGCCGGAGGATATCTCTCAAGAACTGAAGAACGCTCCATGGGTTTTTTCAGACCTACCTGTCGCAGATTGCTCATTATATGATTCTCCTCCTGGAAGGATTTCCTTATAAACACTGCTGGAGTTTCTTCTTCTGCTGCTTCATTGCTTAGAGCATCTGTCTGCACGCCGGTGGACGTCACGGGAACATCAACCATTCTTCTCCCGTTCATGCTGGGCCTCAGAGCACGGCTGTAACGCTTAGAAAGCTCCAGCTCTCTTGTCAGGTTCAAAACTTCCTGCCCCATGCTCTTGTTTTTGTTCTCCTCTTCCACAAACCTTTGCTGTAGAACTGAATAATCGACTTGGAGCTGAGAAAGCTGGTCTTCTTTGTTCATGAGCTCATGGATTTTTTCCTTAAGTGCTTGAACTTCTGCTTTCAAATCTCTGCTTTTGGCCTCTTCCAGACGAAACCTGTGCCTCAGCTCTGCCTCCTGGCTCACCACTTCACCTTTTTCTATTGCTTTCGTTTTGGCAATCTGAAGTTTCATCTCCTCCAACTGTTGAGAAAGAAAATTAGCTTTATCCTGCTCAGTCCTAAATTTCTGCTCTAGCTGATCATACTCATCTTCAGTCTTCATCAAATCTCCTTCAACCACTTCCAGTTGTTTGAGACGTTTTTTCAATCTTTCGATTTCAATGGTGAGTTCCTTAATCTTGTTGTCCTCATGACAACCATGCTCTGCTCCTTTCCTAGTTCGACCTCTTGTAATTTCTCTTTCTACTTCCTCCATACCATCAATTCTTTTCTTTAACAGGTCAACTCTACAGCTTAATTCAGATGATTTTTCTTCTTCACTTCTCAGTTTGCCAATTAACTCATCCCTTTCCTTTGTCAAACTAGATACTTTTTCCTCCATTTCAGATTTCAGTTTCAAAAATTTCTTACTTTCTTCTATTAATTTCTCTGTTACATCCATAACTTTCCCTTGTTCAACTTTAAAATTCTTGTTTAGGCCCTCAACCTTTTTTTCCTCCTGTTTTATTTTTTCCATCATATTTTTTCGCTCATCAACCAACATTACAGTAAACGACTTCAGCTTCGTAAGGTCATCTTTTAAGCTTATTTCAGCCTTTTCCAACTTGCTTTCAGATGTCTCAAGGTCCTTCACTCGAGTCTTCACCACTTCCAACTCATTTATCAAATCCTTAGTCAAATTTTTTTCTTTCTCCAAGTTTAAGTGTAGCTGAGTACATTCCGACTTGCTTTTACTGAAAGCCTCTTCCAGCTTCTCTAATTCTGACATTCTTTTCTGCAGTTTTTCCACTTCAAGTTTCAACTCTTTGCTATGATGCTCTTCCTCTTGCAGTTTATTTTTCAGCTCTTTGCACTGGGATTCAGTTTTTGTGATCTCTTCATCTTTCCCCTCCATTTCAAGCACGCGCTTGCGGAGGTTTTCCACTTCTGCCATTAAGCTAGAGTTCCCACATTCCCCTTTGGCTATTTTATCTCTTAATTCTTGAAGTTCCTCCTCAGTTTTTTGAAGATTTTTGTTAGTTTCTTCTAGCTCCTCTATTCTGCGAGTCAACCCCACTAGCTTGAGCCTTAGTTGTCTATTCTGTGACTCTTGATTAGCCAGTTTAGCAGTCATCTCCTCATGTTCTTGACAAAATGATGACGTTTTGTGTTCAAGTTCTGCCTCTAATTTCATCAGTTTTTGTCCATCTTCTTTTGTTTTTGCACTAATAATTTTAAGCTTTTCTTCTTCTTCCTTTAGTTTTTGGGTTAAGTCCTGTATTTTCTGGCTTTGCTGACCAAGTTGTTCAATATGCATTTGTCTTTCATCCACCAGCATGAGTGCAAATGATTTGAGCTTGACTAGTTCTTCTCTTAGTTTATTGATTCTCTTTGTATGCTCCTTCTCCTTCCGGGCTTGATAGATCTTCTCCTGCTCAAGAAGTTTCTTCAACCTGAAACAAGTTAGAAGAGATGCATTAGACTAAGATGTATATATATGTCTGCGTGTGTATCTCTCTATTTTTAAAATCACCTTTATTTTAGCTTATTTTTTATTAATTAATAATTAATTTTTTAATTTTATTCAGTCTTTAAGAAATAACTACCTACTACAGTTGTGTTCCCAAACCAAGTATTTTGAATTACAGAAGTTTAAAAAAAATACATAAAATCATCTAGATTTTAAATTTGAATTATCAAAACACAGTACAATTTTCTATGTGTACAGGTAACAAATACATCAGGTTTTAATTTCCTTACATTTATTTCTCTGTTAGGATGATGTTGGTAAAAGTATATGATATCCCAACAGGACAGGTATTGTCTACTCACTAATACATTTATACCAAATTTGTTTTACAAAGTGGATTCCTCTTTATGTCTTGCATACAGAAAAATCTGTAAAATAAGGTAAAAGATTTAAACTAATTGTCATATGCAGCCACACATAAACAGACCAATCCTGGTTACAAATAAACCAGCAGGACAGAAGATTACAGTAGCACACAACTGATAACCATCTGGGCATCACAGGCATATGAAATTAGCAGGAAGATAAATTTTCCAGCACAGTGACTATTATGTTAAAAGGTTTCTTCTTCTGTATTTCACTTAGTAGATGTTGTGAACCACAAGGATCAGACTAGTCAAACCTTTGGCTATAGCTGCCCTCATCTAGGAAGTGTTCTTCTCTGTATGGCCTCTAAAGCTGCGTTTTCATAGTCAAACCTTTGGCTATAGCTGCCCTCATCTAGGAAGTGTTCTTCTCTGTATGGCCTCTAAAGCTGCGTTTTCATACAATATAAAAGCTCACCATATATCCAAATTAGGTCTCTCCTCAGAAAGATAATAAAGGCATACATTACCCAGCCTTAGCCATGCAACATGGAATAATATAACTATTTTATACTGTGATATATTCAGAATCTGTTGACACCAATATAGGAAGTTCCTGCACGTGTTCTAAACACAGATTTATGAGGCTGGTGATCCTAAATTGAAAGAGTACAGACAACACAGGGATGCATCCCGACCAATCTAAGAGCCTTGTTGTAAAAGAAGCAGTCTGACTTAGAAAGATGCAGGTATGCACACTGAATTTACTGTGAAATAATATTTTTTTCAAACCACTGTAATAGCACCTACAGTTCCCACATCCTCTAAAAAGACACGAGATAATTCAAATCCGCTTGCTTTGCTTACCCTACGTCTGAAGTTTCTCAACTTCCTTTCTATAACTGAGATGCACATCCAGGTGGTAATAGCAGAGCAATTAACGCCTGGCAATTAACTTGCAGCAACTGGAACATCCATATCTTAGCAAAAATCAACTTTTATCAATTTTCTTCTCTTACATGTTGGATTGTAGATGACAGCAGGTGGAGCACAGATATACATTCCTCTCTGCTACTCCAGCAATGAAGTGATGCCAAGGGCCCCGGGGCACAATGCCATACACAAAGGCTGTCTCCCAGAGCCCTCACCTGAACTCTACACTCCTAGCAAGAGCCAGATTAACTCTGTACTCAGCAACTGTTAATGTTTCACTCCTTGCTCCTGGGGGACCAGAATCAAAAGGAACTGGAAAGAAAAGCCACAAGAAAAGAGAAGGAAGTCAGAAAGCAGAACACAGGATGCAGTAGGTAGGGAAGGAGAAGGCTGAAGAATGCATTTGAAAACAAGACTCGGATAGGATGTGGGAGTAAGAGAATAGTAGGAACCAGCGGTAGAGAGAAAAACAAACAAACATTGCAGCCAACCTTGCTGGGTCACAGATTATTCTCAAAAGAAAAGTCTCTTTAGTTGTGGCAGCTCTTTGGAAAGGACTGAAAAGGCATGCTGGTGGACGCCTCATTATTGGTCAAGTTAGAATGTCAAAAGGTAAAAAAAGACCCACTGTCACTCACAAAGCATGCACTTTTCACACTGAAGAAGGAACTTTATTAGCATGCAATATATTCCCTGGCTACTCTGTCTCAGTGCTTCATGCAAATGTTTCAGCGAAGAACTCTTCCTCATCTCCCCCAGACTACGTTTTTAAAGGAATAGCATGTACCCTTCCACAAAAATACTGTTTGCCATGACAGAACAGTGTAGTCGAACCTGGTGGTGTTCTAAATGACATCTTCCAAAGTCACAAACATAGAAGAACGCTTCCAGCCTTCCTTCCTTGTCCCACAAGAAAATTTTAAGGTGACCCCTATAAATTAAAAAAACCCAGAAAACCACTTAAAAAAAATCTTGACACCCAAAAGCCTAGAGATGATTAGAAAACTGTCTTTGATTTGTAATTCCTAGACCTGCACATGTGATTTTCACCCAGCAATTGCTCCAGGCAGTACACCCCAGCGAGGCTGCTTAGCAGAGTGCAAAATAATGCACCGACCATACGTGGTTCCACCTGATTACCTGAGAGTCTGCTGGGGAATACTACTGAGAAAGCCACTGGAAAAAATGCAAATATCAGTTAAACTAAGACAAGAAAATGCCAGTCATGAGGCTGAGCAAGAGAAGAAAGCCTATTAGCCCTGTCACTGCCTTGCAGGAGTGCTAGCAGTGGGGAATAACCAGCTTGGCCCTTCTGGGAAAATAAAGCAACATTCAGCACTTCATTCTGCCTCAGCTTTAGCACAGGGAAACTGCATGTCTCAGATGTGACAAGCCAACTTTCAGAGAAGATACTTAACAATACTTCTGTTTTTCATGTCTATGGGAACTGCTTCTAATATCTGGGTCTGTGGGGAGGAATTGGAAGGCAGCACACAAATGTATGTGTTAATTGCCAAAGTAATTTAAAAATCTATACCTTTTCAGTGTTACTTCTAGAGACTAAAATAAAGCTGAGTTTAAGCTTCTCCCGCTTTTCCATCTTTGTACAACTTTCATACCTCAGTGGTTAAACTGGAATTTCAGCAGGACTGCAAGGTGAGGTTATCCCCTCTTGACCCTCACAGCACATTTGCTGCTATCAGGCTTCTCATCTGACTGCCGCTGCTCATGTTTGCTAAGTAACACCGATCTACATGGGCTCCTATGCAACACTAAAAGCCCTTCAGACTCCCAGCACCTGGTCTTCAATGTGTTAGCCAGAGCAACTGCATTCTGGACTGTCAAGAGGCTGACAGCACCTGCATTCAGGATCAAAATCAAAACAAACAAAACCTTTAATACTGAAACATTAGGTACAGCCAAAACACTGACAATCCAACAATTTGATACCCCCCAGCCCAGTTCCCGCCTGTGGTGTCTTGGTTTGTGATTTTTTTAGAAAAAGAAATGAGAAATGTTTGGATACAACTGGATAACCTGCATTCATCAGTAAGAGTCTCGGGGCTTTGGCTGAATGTCCCCAAAATGGAGCATGCAGATGTGATCCAGTTCCCTGCCCAGAGAGGGACTGTACTCCCTGCCCTTCTGCTGCAGCCTGTGTGGCATCTCTTTTACCCATGCCAAAGCCTGCAGCCCGAGTCAGTCCCTGCATACATGCTGCCATGGAGGTCCTGGTGCTCTCTCCCTCTCCTTACTATCTGTCCTCCCCGCAGTATTTGAGGAACAGGTCCAGTACTCAAGACAGGCACATTACCCCTTGCAGAACTGTATAAATAAGCAGGAAACCCTCAGGTGTGATGACTGTGTGCAGCTGTTAACTGCCTAAGTTACAAACAAACACCCCAGGATGCTGCTGCTCCGACTTTGTTCTACAAAGAAAGAAGCCTGACTGGCCTGGTGCAGGATGCTGGAGTATGGAAGCTACTGCTGCAAGCTGACATGGTCCCTGCTGCATAGGGAGCAGCCTCTCCTGGATCCCCACTGGCCTTAGCTGTTCACAGCCACACCAGGCAGTGCTGGGGCAGCGGGAGAGCTCTGCTGGCAGCCGTGCTGGGGAGGCAGGAGCCTGAAAACTTCCAGCAATCAGTCTCAGTTGCAGAGAAAGCAGACATCAGACTGGAGGAAGAGCAACTATGGAATTAGTTTTAACAACTCTCATGAATGGTGTGCTGGAAGTAGCTAGCAAGGAAGAATGTAGGAGGGGATGGGCAATAACCAGGCTCTCCCTCTCCTCCTGCCTTTAGGTTTGGTGCTGAAGTGTTTTCACTGCACAGTCTTTCTGCTTCCCCTTCCCTCCTCCAAGCTATGAATCAATCAATAGAAGTGCAGTGGGATGCTGACAGCTACAACTCTATCCCTCCAGTGATGTGCCTTCATTTCTTTAGTCATGGCTCCTCTCAAAAAAATATCCACTTCCAAGTGGAACAGAGCATGCAAAAGCAAATAGCCCCCCAAACATTTACTGATAATCATACCAGTGTGTGTACCTCCCTTTCTGTTTGTACTTCCAGCAAGATGAGAAAACATCACAGGTACTCGTACAACCTTTTCCACTTCTAGCAAAGAAATGAGCTCTCACCTGCACATGGAAATCCTGGGAAAGCAGGGCAAGTCATATGATGCCCTGAAAGGCCAGAAGCTGCTAGCATGGTTTGCATACACACCAATATTTCAGCACCATAGTTCAGCTGTGTTGGCCTGTTTTAACCCCCTGCTCTGCAAACAAACAAAGCCAAGCTTCCCAAGGTGTCTCCCAGTGTTTAATTAAGCACTCAAAGGAGGGGCTAATGTAGAGGGCAATGTGGAGAAGTGGAAAGCTATTTCTCTCGCTATCAAAACTGGCAGCAGGAGGAACAGCAGTCAGAAGAAAGGTGATGTAAAGGAGGCAAGCAGGTGAGGTCTCTTGGGGGTCTTGTTAATTGAGTCCCAGCCTGGAGACCCACAGAGTTTCTCACTGCTGCTCTAGCACAAAGCCATGTGACTTCCCACTCCTGCAGTACCTTACTTTGCCATTTACATTCCAAAAAGTCTGTTGCTATGGGGTGTAATGACTTCTATCCCATTTCACGGATGGCCAGTAAGTGAGGGTTAAGGCAAATACATTAATGAGGACTTGGTCACTCTA